CTGCTCTGCTGTTTTTGACCAGTTTTAGCCTGTGACTCTGTCCTGTCTACAGGAGACTGTTGGTGGGTTGAGGCCCACAGGTTCTCCAAATGATGCTGTCTCTCCTCAATTATTTAAAGAGGTCTTCCCTACCCTCGGAATCTCTGTTCTTGCACCTATAAAGAGCAGCCTGTCCTCAGGTCCGGTCCCTGTGCAATTCTTGCTAATTTAATGCCAATCTCCAAACTGCCTTTAATTTCAAAAGTCTTGAGACAATAATTTCCAGTCAGTTAATGTCATTTCTAAAACACCAAAATATTCTTGAGGTTTTCTAATCTGGTTTTAAATCAATGTATAGCACTTCAATCTTCAATCTTTTGAGAGTTTTTGATTATATCCTTTTAGCCACAGACTCTGGTGACTGTGTCATTCGTGTGCTTTTAGATTTAAATTCATAGGGAAATCATATTTAAAGTCAAATCATTCTGGCTTAAACATGTATATAAAACTACTCTTTATCAGATGATATTGTCCCAAAATTTAGAACATTTTTGTTTGAAAAAAAAAAATCCTGTCTTAAAATCTGTGTTTTTTTTTCGTTATCTCATACAGGCCAGTTAGTTATGCCTCAGCCTGTACACTTACATTAAACTTAAAACCAATCATATATCAATGGTCATCTGTCAATCACATTTTTGCGGTCATAGCAACTTGATTCATATGTTGCAGCTAATATACGCAATGGTTTAAATAAGAAATAAGAATCATTTACTTTACCATTGAGTTACGTCCCGGTGTTCACGGGGATGGAGGTCTGTGTCTTCAGCAGGCGTAGAGCTAACAGAACTGGCAGCGTTGCGAGGCAAGGGCTCAAACATGTACGGATGTAATCCTTCTACACCACAGGTGTCAAACTGGTTCCAGAAAGGTCCGTGTGGCTGCAGGTTTTTTTTTCCAACCAAGCAATAGCACACTAGACCCCAGTCATCTCATCAAGTGAGTCCAATCTGAACATGATGACTTGATGAAATGAGTGGAGTCTGGTGTGCTATTGCTTGGTTGGAAAGAAGACCTGCAGCCACATGGCCCTTTCTGGAACCAGTTTGACACCCCTGTTCTACACCAAATAAGCTTCTGCTGCCCTGGTGTCCTCTTCTACAATAACTTTGTCCCTACATTCCTCATCTACATAAAACATGTATGACAGAGGAGACTCATCCATGACCTCTAACACAAAACTCTCCTCCTCTTGCATGTTTCTGCTGTCCATAGCGTTCCTTGACAGTGTCATTTCTAAGTCACCAATTTACTGCTACTTGGTCCCAATGTAATTTCCCATTGGGAACCTACTAGTGCTAAGCTCACATTTCTCACCATGGTTCTTTGAAAATGGCAGAGAAAAAAAGTGCCTACAAATTATATAAGAAGAAAAGAAAGGCCCCATAAGAGGCATATATATCCCGGGAATGCTTTGCATGGAGAGTTCTCCTCACAAAGCATGATGGGATTTGCTGTCACAGCGGCCTCTGTTGGGTTTAGACTGCTTTGATCCAGTTGAATTTCCGAGTTACCAAAACATAGTCTTCATCTAAGCCTTCAACTTGTGTGTTTGATCCAGTTCCTGCCAGGTTATTTAAGGAGGTATTCCCTTTGATCTCCTCTCACATCTAAAAATATCTCCTCCTCCATTTTAGATGTGATTAATCTCTCCCTGTTACAGGGATATACCAAAGCCTTTCAAGGTTGCTGTAATTAAACCTTAGCTTAAGAAACCATCTCTTGACCAAGATGACTTGGTCAATTATAGACCTATATCCAATCTTCCTTTCTTATCTAAAATTCTTGAGAAAGAAGCTGCCAAACAAGTGTGCGATCACTTACACCATAATAAACTTTTTGAAGAGTTTCAGTCTGGCTTTAGAGCTCATCATAGCACTGAAACAGCTCTGGTGAAAGTCACTAATGATATTCTCATGGCCTCAGATAATGGACTTGTATCATTACTTGTCCTAATCTCAGTGCTGCATTTGATACAGTTGACCATAATATTCTTTTAGAAAGACTTGAATATTTTGTTGGAATTAAAGGAACAGCACTAGACTGGTTTAAATCTTATCTATCTGATTGATTTCAATTTGTTCACGTTAATGACAAATCTTCCTTATGCTCAAAGGTTACCTGTGGAGTACCACAGGGATTAGTGCTAGGACCAATTCTCTTTACTATATATATATATATATATATATATATATATATATATATATATATATACACGGTATATATATATATATATATATATATATTCAATTCAATTCAATTCAGTTTATTTATATAGCGCCAAATTCACAACACATGTCATCTCAAGGCACTTTACAGTTCAACCAGATCATACAGTCAAATTGATACAAAGTTTTCTATCTAAGGAAAACCAGTTGATTGCATCGACTCATTGACTCAAATACAATCCCTCACACTAAGCATGCTTGTAGCAACAGTGGAGAGGAAAAACTCCCTTTTAACAGGAAGAAACCTCCAGCAGAACCAGGCTCAGTGTGAGCCGACTGGGGTTCAAGGAGACAGAAGCAGAGATACAAAAAGCAGCTGTAAAAGGCGGCCCCGTCCAGGAAACACACAGCCAGGCAGACAAGCTCCAAGGCAGCTCACATGCCAGAGGACGAAGAGAGCACATCCACTCAGTCACGGCCAGAGAAACAGGACCACACTGGAAAACAGGCCGATCTCCAACATCTATAAACAAGGGTGTTGATGGAAGCAGCACAGCTGATGTTTCTTTCCAGGATGACGTCACAGCCAAACAGGAACAGACGAGGCAAAGCTACTCTGAGGAAAAGCAGAGAAAGCAGAAGGTTAGAGATTGAACTAACAGATTCTGCAGAATAGGAGAACAGAGAGAGAATGAAGCAGAATGATGAAATGGGGATCCCTATGTCCTCCAAAAGTCTAAGCCTATAGCAGCATAACTATAGAGATAGCTCAGGATAACCTGAGCCACTCTAACTATAAGCTTTATCATATATATATATATATATATATATATATATATATATATATATATATATGCTCCCAATTGGTAGAATTATTAGACAGTATGAGATTAATTTTCACTGTTATGCTGATGATACTCAGCTATCTGTCTATAAATCCAGATGAAGCTAAGACATTACATAGATTACAGGCATATCTTGTAAGACATAGAAACTTGGATGACTCTTAACTTTCTGTTCCTGAGTGCAGACAAAACAGAAGTTATAGTGTTTGGGCCAGATTCTGCAAAAATTATCTGAATAACAGTCACTTCATTTGAAAGGGGTATAAACTGATTTCAGATAATAAAGCAAAAAATATTGGTGTTATTTCATTTAAATCCCATATAAAAGAGGTTTCTAAAATTTCCTTTCTGTGGAATATTGCAAAAATAAAAAAATATCCTGTGCAGGGGTGAAGCTGAGAAAGTAGTCCATGCATTTGTTACTTCAAGGCTGGACTATTGTAATTCTTTACTATCAGGAAGTCCACAAACTGTAGTTAAAAGCCTTCAGCTGATCCAAAATGCTGCAGCCAGAGTTCTGATGAAAATTAAAAAGAGAGATTACATCTTACCTATCCTGGCTTCTCTTCATTGGCTTCCTGTTAAATCAAGAATAGAATAGAAAATTCTCCTTCTCACATATAAAGCCTTAAATGGCCAAGCTCCATCTTATATCAGGGATATGATTGTTCCTTAAGTTCCCAACTGAACACTTCACTTTCAATCTGCAGGTTCACTAGTGGTTCCTAGAATTTCTAAAAATAGAATGGAAGGCAGATCTTTTAGTTATCAGGCTTCTCTCCTGTGGAACCAACTACCAATTTTATTCTGTAAGGCGGTCACCCTGTCTACTTTTGAGGGTAGGTTTAAAACTTTCCTTTTTGATAAAGCTTATAGTCAGAGTGGCTCAGGTTATCCATTATGCTCTCTCTGCTTTTTCTCATGGTAGCATGCCTCGTCTGTTCCTGTTTGGCTGTGACCCCATCCTGGAGAGAAATATCAGATGAAAAGATGAAAAGCCTTTGTTTATAGATGTTAGAGATTGGCCTGTTTGTCAATGCAGTCCTGTTTCCCTGACTGTGACTGGCTGGATGTCTTCATCTTATGACATGGGAGCTGGGCTGGAGCTCGTCTGCCTGGCTGTGCGTTTCCTGCACTGGACCGCCTTTTACAGTGGCCTTTTCTATCTCTGCTTCTGTCTCCTTTAACCCTAGTCGGGCAGATGGCCAGTCACACTGAGTATGGTTCTGCTGGAGGTGTCTTCCTGTTAAAAGGGAGTTTTTCCTCTCCACTGTTGCTACAAGCATACTTAGCGTGAGGGATTGCCTTTGAGTCAATATGTCCATGCAATCAAAAGGTTTTCCTTAGATAAAAAAAAAAAAACTTTGGATCAATTTGACTGTATGATCTGGAGAACTGTGCATTGAGACGACATGTATTGTGAAAGAAGCTAATAAACTGAATTGAACTGAATTGAATTAAAAAGCTCCAAAGCAAAGACAGGAAAATATAAAAAGAGAGTACAAAAGCGCATAACAAGTGGTAATGTCCTGGAATATGTTTCCTTTAAATATAAAGATATCTGCACAGTAAAGATCTAAGGAAAGAGGATACAGTAGTTTAATTGGATTATTGCAGTTGTACTGCAGACATCCACTGACCATAAACAAAACTTACACAGACTACACAGTTGGCATTTTTATTGCACATTGATTATTATTGAACTGTATAGGAGCCGAAGAGAACCAAAAGCATATGGACGACTCACGCTTTTCCTCTTTTGTAAAATAAAAGCTAATTTCTAAATAATTTGAAGCCTAATAATTATTAAGCCTACCAATTTGATTTGATCCTTTCCTCACACTTATGTTCTGTACTATAGGAGGAGATGAATGGGAAGAGGAGGTGCCACTTTCTATGGCCATGTTCCAGTTTACGAATCGTTTACAATATTCTTTTTTTTCACTTTCACTTGTACTTAAGTACGTGTTCGCCCGATTTAGATCTTGGGTAGGGATCTGTCTGCTCTCTCGGATCAGAGGGACTCGATCAGAGTTGGAGATTGAAACCAAAGAACGGGCAAAATGCGAGGCTTGCTTGTGTCACCTTTTCTCGTGATATTATCAGGTAACTTTTAAAATATAATTTTGTTCGTGCAAGACGTCTAAAGCACATTGATTGAAATGTGTGTGCGTGTGTAAAGGGGGAGGGTTAATTTGGATTTACTGCGCACGAAATACTAAATAGTTCAATACTTCAATGGTACAAAGTACATTGAAGGAGGAAAGGATGCGAATATATTTATGTTATAAGTGCAGATTTATCGAATTAAGCAGCAAAAAGGTGCATTCATTGCTTGTCTCGTGGTATTTATACGCATCTTAGTAACTGTGGCAGATTGTGTTTTATAGGGTGAATTAAAAATAACAGAAAAAAACGCTAGGAACTATCGCCTAAGAGGAATTGGAGCCTTAAACCGACAAATTTATACAAATTCGTTGCTGGATACTGCGTAATGACGCAGCGCAACAGGCCCCGCGTGCGTAAAGCGCCGCTTGAGGTTGAAATAAACTCTGACCACTTAAGTTTTAATGAAACCTAACTCCAGTTAATGATCTAGAAGTCATTCTCTTTGGGGTTCGAGGCGATAGGTCATAGTATATATATTTTTTCTGTAATTTTAAAGCTGTTCATAAAAGGGAAGGTCTCTTATCCTCTGCCGGCCGGCACCTTCTCCACAGAGAGATCATATCTGCCACACTAGAAATACCCTCTATTGCTGCTTATTTGGATCACTTTGCAAATCACATAGACATATTTGAATCCTTTCCTACTTCATTTTGGCATTGATCTGAAACTTGAAGTGTTCAAGAAAACAATTGGACAGCAGTAGGTGTTATTTTACAGCACAGTACCACACACATCTGAACATCCGGTCATCATTCATACCTGCCTGGCAATATTTTATTTAAATTTTATGTATTTATACAGCACTGAAAAAAATTATGCAAAAATGCAAATAATGCAAGGCAAAACTCCATCAGACTATCTATCATGTTGGTTTGTTCCTTTTTTCCTTGGTTACAGAAGGTGCACTGTAGGAGGATTATGTTTTACAATTTTGTGAACACTATACACTGTGGCCACATATGCCTCATCATCAAGTTTGCGAAAGAGTTATTTCTTTGAGAGTATGATTTACTATTCTGTGGGAACATTGTTGTATGTTGTGCACATTATATATATATATTTTTCCAATGTCAATCCCCTGGCTTCGTAAAAAAGGGATTTTGTATTGAAACAGTAAAAGTACATAGCTCTCTGCAAATGCTTTCTGTTTTAGGTCTCTTTGTTTAAATGCGGGTTGTTTTTAAAATGTCTGCAGAAGAGATAGCTGGCCCTCAAGAAACAGTACAATTCTTTATATTTCTCATGAAGAACCGATGATTCGCTGAACTTCAATTTTTTTTTAAATTTTCCCATTGCGTAGATGCAAAAATACAATCAACTATAATCTGTGCTTTTAACAGCCTGTAAGCAGTCCAATCATCCTTTTACTTGTTTTCATATCTTTTTCTGTTGTTAAAACAAATGTTTTTATTCATGTTCTGGGATTTACCCAGGCGTGTTTGTGCATGTCCCTCTTTGGAAACCTGATTTTAGAATAATGACTCACACTATCAGTTTGATTGCTCTAACCACTACATTTCTTTTTATAGGAGTTCTCCCACTTACAACACGAGGTACGTTTTTTTTTTTTTATTAAAATGCAGTTTGTAGTCTTGTGTTCTGAGTTATGTTTTTTATTATTATTTAGGAAAATAGTTGTACATGTGATCAAGGGCTTCATACAGTGTGTTAATTCTTAATGTTGCTTTTTAAAATTTTAAATATGGCATATCTGTGGTTTGATGTAGAGTGGACAAATTTTTATTCTAATCTGGAGACATGTTTACCTTAAAATTGTAGCAAATGATCACTATCTCACTAAAAGCTTGTGTTGAAACTTTAGAGATCATATTTGGTCATGCCAAGATAAACTTTAAGAGATGTGTTCAATAAAGTCTTAGTTTGAACATTTCCCCTTTTCTGTGTAATCTATTAACATCAAATTCCCTGACAAAACAAAAAAACATAGAATATGTTTGCTTTAAACTTGTAAACTCTGTCATTTTAGATTTAACTGACATAGAAGGTTATTGATTTGAACTGAAAGAGAAAAATTATGATAAACAAACTGCACTTTTGTTGTGATGCTTTTATAAGATAAAGAACTTTGAATTTTTAATTCATTAAATATGCACTTAGAAATGTTTTCTAAAATAATTATATGTCAGAGCCCTACTAGCTGGACTAATTCTAGTTCATATTTTATGTTTCAGGTGATAAACATGTTGATGTCACAGCCAAAATCAATGATGATGTCCTTCTTCCATGCAACTGCACAAATCTAAATACGACGCTTCAATTAAAGTGGCAAAAGGATGCCGAAGTTATTTATGCCAGCTTTAACCAAACAGAAAATGACGCATTTAAACTTTTCCCTAATGGAATCAAGGAAGAAAACTGCTCCTTGCTTCTGAAGAAAATCAAAGCAGAGAACAAAGGCATATATAAATGTCTCTATCATGAGGGGGGGATCTATACCAAGGACACTGTGAATTTAAGTAAGTTAATAATTCTTTCTTAATTATTCCAATTAATACTGTTTTTCTGTTTTTTTATTTTAACCACATTCTTTGGTACAACCCTGATGCATGACTTTTTAAATGTTTAAGCATTTGCTAAAATGCTGTGACAGTGAGACTCGGACTCAATAACTTAAGATAAGAAATTCTTTCAAAATTATTTGACTTTTTAAAAATATTTCTCTTCTTTTTGCAGCAATCAACATACCGCCTAACACCACTCCAGGTCAGTTCCTGTCTCAAGTTATTAACCCTGTTATAAAACCACAACTGCTTTTGCTCATCTATATGATAATTGGTTTTGCTAATATTATGCCTCTACCCCATTATAGCCCCCCCTGCTGAGCCACTCAGAGGCGGTCCCAATAAGAATTTAGCAATCATTGGAATCCTTGGACTTCCTGTGCTTTTGGGGCTCATTTGGATAGTTATACGGTGAGTGTTGCAGAATAACAATTTAAACCATTCTAACCATGTTACAGGCATGCCAAGTTCCAAAAACCCATTTCAGGGAGATGCTTATTGGTACATTTGGTCTAGATCCGCCACTGTTCCTCACCTTCACTAGACGTGGATATACTTTAGTATATTCTGCTGTAAAATTAGTCCTTTATTTTAAATTTTTACTCGAGGTTTCAACCTCTGCCGTTTCACAGGATGCACAGCTTTGAGTGGTAACTAGGTGACTGCCAGAGAGTAACCCCAAACTTATCAGACTTATCCAATCAGCTCTCTGACAACCAGTCGCCTGGAACGTTTGTCGAACAGAGCATCGCTTTGGACAGATTCACAGGTTTCACAAGCAACCTCCTCCTCACACCCTGCTCTCTCTTGTTGTGTCTGCGCAATCGCAGTAGTTCTAATTCGCACATGATGCACATATTATTGTACTGCCTGCACGTTCTCACTCACATTAAAAAACACTACCTTGTAAAGTCTAAAATCCGCGATAATTTATCCAACTCGAGGTCATCCATGAACAACTATCTATATCAGGGAGACTCCTGGAACTTCCTGGAGACTTGGGACGTCTGATAGTATAACCACCATTTCACAGCATGGTGATGGTATAAGGGCACTAGTCTTCACTTCTGGTCCTCAGGACCCACTGCCCTGCATTATTTAGGTTTTTCCCTGCCTCCTTGCCTCTAACTGTGCTTATGGTTGAGTGTTGAATGCTTCTGAAAGTTTATTCCTTCTTTAATTCTTATACTATGCATACAAGAAACAAAATATGTAAAATAAAATCTGGTAACATTATACAATAACCATGATAACCATAATTAAATGGTAACGAGATCATTTATCGATGAATATGAGATAGTTTATTGATGTTTGATCATCATTTATATACTGCACTTAACCTTTTATGAAAAGGGAATAGATCATATTACCCAGCTATGTTAGTTTAACCCTAACCTCGATGGACTTCAGACCTTAATAAATGATCAATTTGTTAATCATTAAAAATTCGTCTCTGTGCCATTTATAAGCGATAGCTATGATGGTTATCGGAACTTGTAACAAAAAATTCTTAATCTACTTTGAGAAATTAAGCAAAGGAGTGAGCACCACATTTTGGTTGAATTGTTAGAGAGCTACCCTAACCCTACCCTACCATATAATCTAAGTTACAGACATAATTGAATATACGGCAAAAAATTTTCCCGAATTGGGAAGTTCTTAGCTTCATTTTCAGAAGCTTAGCTTCTAATATGAATAACAACAAGGAAGTGGTTGGACACCGTGCTAGAACTGAATATACTAAGAAGTTATAAAGGTTTCTGACACTCCATAAAAAAAAAAAACTGATCTGTGGGAAATAACCGCTTCAGGTAGTCCAGGAAATAACTGTAATCTGCTTTGAACTATATTCCTGGCCTTTTAAAAAGTTCTTGCTATGTACTACTCTTCAGTTGTTACAGACCTACAATAAAATTGATCTTTATCTCTTTTTATTTTTCAACAGTAAACGATGGGATAGAAATGGAGATAAAAGAAGTGACCCACACTCCGACACTGTTGTATGATCAGGCTCTTATCAGCAACAGGCATGTCACATCCTGCAAACCCACACAAGGAGTTGGGTGTTTATTGGATGCTTCATAGCAGGTCTTTATAAAATTACAGTCCATTCCTTTGTCTAAAGACAGCAGCTCTACCTGACTCTGCTACAGTGCAAACATGGATCAACAGGTACAACAGTCACTTCCTTTCTTCAGACACCCTGACTTAAGATTGGATTTAACATCGGTGGGATGTGTCCAACCGATTCCAAATCAAAAGACCACTGACACAACTATCTTTTTTCCCCCATATTGTATTGTTATTATATTGTCACAAGTACAAAGCAACGAATTGAACTCACTGCATTTAACCCAACCCCTTGGGGAGCAGTGGGCTGCCATTGTGCAGCGCCCGGGGGCAGTCTAACAGATCTATCAATCTACAAAGGAGGCAACAAGTTGCCTGCCATCATCCTGCTTATAAACAGTTAATCTTTTTTGGGCTCTTTACTGTTAAAATATAAGTTAATTGTTATAATGTGAGAGATCACTGTATATTTATATGAACAATCCAAGGAAATCAAAAGATTTTTGGATTTTTGAAAACAACTTAAAACAAACGTGCAGCTCTTTAGATTTTGCAGCATTAAGCTAAATTGATCCAGTAGTCAGATGCAAATACTAAGTCTGATCATTGAAACTAAAATGTACATGATCAAGAGTAACTCAACGCAACTTCAACTTTCATCTATCAGTACATAGTACTATATGTAACAGTGTTTGCATGCAATAAGTAATTAGTGGGTGATTATAACTTATTTATTCTGATCTACTTCTATTTCCTCATTGTATAATTATCTTTAGTGCTACATATTTGGTAATTCCTAATAAACTGTATCTGTTATAAACTATTACTGTGAATTTTTTTACGTTAATGTATAATGCTTGTATTGTAATATGCTTTTATATGTAAATAAGATATTTCTCTTTTTTTTCTTTTATTTGAAACTGTGTATGTTTATGATACATTCATGAGTTTTGATGCTGTAAATAATCCTTATAGCCAAAGAAAAAAATATGTTATTTAAGCCATGGGAGCTGGACTCCATAACACTGCACTAAGAAAACAACACATAAATCTGTTTATGCTGTGGACTTAGTCAGCATCCCAAATGAACTGCTGATTCAGATCATGGATATTTTTTTTTTTTTTTGGTTACATTTTATTTGTTATTTTATGGAAGTGGTGAAAAATGTGAATAAAAAGGTCAGGGTCAGCAAAGTCTTATAAAAAAAAAGAACAACACATAATGACTCTTCCTCCTGCTCAGGAATGGTGAAAGCTCTTATTTTTATAATATTTGTTATTGATTGTCTTTTGTGTATGCTTTTTTAAGATGTATTATTAAAATAGGACTATAAAGCCAAAGAAAGATATCAGTTAAGATGTAATTGAATAAAAAAGTAACAATGTTTTGCTCTCTCTGAACAAGGTGCTGCTTGTAGTGTAAAAAGAATACAAAGAAAGAATACAAAGAAAGAATACAAATGCCATTCTCACAACAATATGTTCAGACAATTTGAAAATCTGATGTATAAAGTGCATATAAACTCTATTTTTTTTATAAATGCTAATGGAAAAAAATACGTTTGTTGGTAGTCTTATTTCCTTCTGAAACATTTAATTTCCCTTTTTTATACCCACAAAACATGCAGCAGCAAGAAGATTCCGACCCTGTGGTATAACACAAAGATATGTTAGTGAGCACTGCTCTGTCATCTAAAAGTAGAATGAATATTTCAAGAATTTAACTCCACCAAGACATGGCTGTGCTTCTACACTGTGCTTCTGCACATTCACTGGTGTGTGCAATTAACAGTCCATCTACCTGCTTCCTGAAAAAAAACAAGAACAAACATGTAGAGGACTAGAGACACCTACTGGACAGAAGGGGATCGTCACAGTAGTTAATCCAACCTTTTAAGAAGTATGCTGGAAGAAGGCCAAGTGATGGTTACAGAAAGTGAGGAGGGCAGAACCCGAAATAAAACCCATTCGGATACAGTCTTCTTTTTTTAAATCAGTTCAGGCGAGATTTTTAAGAGCCCATAATCAGATTTGTCTTTATGCATGGGCTGTTGATGTGATTGTAAACAATATTGCCTTTTTAACTCAGTTGTCTTGAAGTACGCTGAAACCTTTACAACAATATTGATTTTTTTTTGTTTTTTTGAAGCACCCGCTTAGGAGATTTTGTTATCTTTAGACCATAATCATGGATTTTACAATAAATAAAGGCTTTGTATATTAGTTCTGCACCATAGCATATGGTGCACCATATTAGTGCTGCACCATATGCTATATTGATGATATAGTAGTGTATATATGACTGTAATCTTTTTTAAATGGGTCTGGTTTTGTCCAAACTTGAGGTCTGTTTTCTTGTTGGTCGGAACTGGTTCAACAGAAAATATCCTGTTCCTCTGCAGAGACAAGGATGTTTACACTGCACCTGAGAAATTGCATCATGTATTTGATCATGTATTTGATCGTGACTATTCCCCTCTTGACAATTGTGATGTACAATGAATTGAAAAATGGAAAAACCTTGATGTTAGTGCTGTGGTTACGCGTGCTATACCTGAACAAACCTTTGCATTTGGCAACCATGTTAAGGAAAAGCATTGCTATGATCAGGTCCATCTGGTCTTACCAGGAAAGGCAGTTTTATTTGTAGAGCATAGTTCGGTAGAAAAACAATTCAAAGTGCTTTACATCAATTCAACAATATTAAAGAAGGAGAATCAAAGCAGAATAAAAGTGACTAAAGATAAAACCACGATAAAAGCAGAAAGTAAAGCTAATAAAATAGTTGGACCACAACTTTAACTAATGATATCTTAATTGGCTGACTGACTTTATTGATCTCAAAGTGGAGAAATGTACTTGTTACATCGGCTTGAATAGTCAAAAAGAAGTTGCAGCTGAAGTATTTTTTCTTTAAAAAAAAAAAAAGCAGGATAATTATACAGGTTTATTGCACAGTGTATTTACATGGGTATTTATATAGATGGGTGTTTATCTATATAGCTATTGCAATGGGTATCAAGTAAGGTTAGGGTATAGGGTTTTGAATCCTGAGGTTGTGAGTTCGAAACCCACTGCCACTCTGAGCACGACCCTTAACCTCATACTTCTCCCGCTATGGGGATGGGTTAAAAGCGAGAGTAAATAAAAGTTAATTTCGTTGGTCTGTACTCGTGAAGGTTTAATGACAATAAAAACGATGGAAAATAGATGTGGTATTTATTTCTAAACTCCGTGATTTTACATTCCTTGTTGTTTAAACGTATAATCTTATTTCAATCAAAGTCATCACTTCCAAATAACAAGAAACCCGACTAACGCCTGGAGCGCCCACACTGTAGCTAGAATCGAAATCTACGCTCCGCAGTTTAACTGGTGTGCGTGTTTACGTCATTGCTGCGCCAGAGGTGACGTATACTATCAGGAAGTGGAGTGGTGGCTAACTATCTAGCATGGCAGCGATTTCAAAATGAAACTACACGAAAAGCCAAGACTTCTAAATATAAACGTTCTGACAACACTGGCATTTATCTCACAGGTAAGTGGGTAAGACCCTGGAAATGTCATATAATTATGAGTGGATCAGATATTGGGCGAAGGGTAGCAGACATGTTTGTTACCTTAAATCACCGCAGTGAAGTTAGTTTCAAGTTGGATATTCGATAATCGCGCTCCGCGGGCCAAGCGCTTTTTAGCTCGCGGCTGATCCAATTTATGTACGCTAATGTCGGCCAGCAGTTCACCACCGCTCGCTTCCCAAGCGCTCCGTGCTTCACTTAGGGACCGTCAAGAAATTTCCGAACCAAACAGTGCTGACATAAAAAATATTAATAAATGTCTTTCCTTGTGACCAACTAACATATTAAGTGGTAATTCATGCTTTTACATTACATAAATTACATTTTATTGAATTGTAAAGCTATAATCAATATTTAAACAATTTAAATATTAAATAATAAAATCTTTTCGTCAATAGCTCCCAGGTCATGTGACCTATTGACCCAAAATCACTTGGAAATTGTTCTAATAGTCTCTCTAGATGAGGCACACTCATTTGATTTTCATTATAACTCTTTTTTTTATTTTTTAGCAATTTTCTTTGTTAAAATTGAGGATTTTTCGTCAATAGCTCCCAGGTCATTTGACCTATTGACACAAAATCAGCATGAAATTGTTCTAATGGTCTCTCTAGATGGGGCACACTCATTTGATTTTCATTTTAACTCTTTTTTTATTTTTTAGCAATTGTTTTTGTTGAAATTGAGGATTTTTCGTCAATAGCTCCCAGGTCATGTGACCTATTGACCCAAAATCACTTGGAAATTGTTCTACTAGTCTCTCTAGATGGGGCACACTCATTTGATTTTCATTTTAACTCTTTTTTTATTTTTTAGCAATTTGTTTTGTTAAAATTGAGGATTTTTCGTGAATAGCTCCCAGGTCATGTGACCTATTGACCCAAAATCACTTGGAAATTGTTCTAATAGTCTCTCTAGATGGGGCACACTCATTTGATTTTCATTTTAACTCTTTTTTTATTTTTTAGCAATTTTTTTTGTTGAAATTGAGGATTTTTCGTCAATAGCTCCCAGGTCATGTGACCTATTGACCCAAAATCACTTGGAAATTGTTCTAATAGTCTCTCTAGATGGGGCACACTCATTTGATTTTCATTTTAACTCTTTTTTTATTTTTTAGCAATGTTCTTTGTTAAAATTGAGGATTTTTCGTCAATAGCTCCCAGGTCATGTGACCTATTCACCCAAAATCAGCATGAAATTGTTCTACTAGTCTCTCTAGATGGGGCACACTCATTTGATTTTCATTTTAACTCTTTTTTTATTTTTTTGCAATTTTTTTTGTTGAAATTGAGTATTTTTCGTCAGCTGATCTTTTAATTTTGCCTTTATCCTATTATTCCAGGACTTCATGAGGAGCTCAGACCAGCTAGAGGACTAAAAAATGGGCCAGAGAAAGAAAGTCGGAGCCGTAAAAACATCCTCATCTGAAAATGATCCTGGAGAGGCTTCTAAAGTCAGCCCCAAGCACAACATCTGCATGGTGTCAGACTTCTTCTATCCAAATATGGGAGGGGTAGAAAGTCACATTTACCAGCTTTCTCAGTGTCTGATTGAAAAGGGACACAAAGTTGTGATTGCCACGCACGCCTACGGCAGGAGGAAGGGCGTCCGGTATCTGACCAACGGACTGAAGGTCTACTACCTGCCCCTGCAGGTGATGTATAACCAGTCCACAGCCACCACCTGCTTCCACAGTCTCCCGCTACTGCGCTGCGTGTTCGTCAGGGAACGCATCACAGTGGTGCACGCACACAGTTCCTTCTCTGCCATGGCCCACGATGCACTTTTCCATGCCAAAACGATGGGCCTGAACACGGTACGTGACCTTGGAAAATATTCAGCTTGATCTGTGTTGATTAGTGTTCATCAGTACAGAAATCAAAAATGAAGTGACTTTCCTCCAATGAGTGAACACATATAACCTTAATAACGTCCTGGTAGCTTTAACTAAATGTTCCTAAATTTGAAAGTTTTTCCAAAGAAAAAAATGTATATATGTAACTAACTAATTTAATAATCTGGTTTTTAATGTAAAATCGAAATTTTTTCCGCCAAGGTTATATTTATGATATAGATAACGCTTAAACAATGCTGTTGACCTCTGGTTATTGCGGGTTCTAAAGCAAAATGATTGGTATTGGGGGGTCAAGGCATTACAGAAACCATTTTTCTATTCTTCGCAGGTGTTCACTGACCATTCCCTCTTTGGCTTTGCTGATGTCAGCTCCGTGCTGACCAACAAGCTCTTAACAGTGTCGCTGTGTGACACCAACCACATCGTGTGCGTCTCGTACACCAGCAAGGAGAACACAGTCCTGCGGGCTGCACTCAACCCAGAGATCGTGTCTGTCATTCCCAATGCAGTGGACCCCACAGATTTCACCCCGGACCCCTCACAGCGTCCCTCCGACCGGATCACCATCGTTGTCATTAGTCGTCTTGTCTACCGTAAAGGTACAGCAATGCTCAGGTGTCCCCCCCCTTTAGAAAAATGTCTTCATCGGCTTATTTCCACTCATTTCTCCTAACTAACTAACTAACTAACTAACTAACTAACTAACTAACTAACTTTAGTATAACCTCAGTATGATAGTGTGATATGGACATTACAGACAGTATTGTTACCTCAAAGTTACGGTCTTGCTGGAATGCTTGAGCCTCTTCTTGTTGATTTAAATAGCTTGTAACCATCCACATTTGTCTGATCTTCTGTAATAGATATATAGAATCGATCAAAACACATTTAAATTGTGAGAAATAAGCCGTTGATTGGCGTTTACTGTTGTTGACATCCAAAGTGTTGGTGTCGGCCAAACCGGTTTCAAAACAGCAGCCTACCTGTTTATGTGCAAGTGTGGGGGCATGCATGCCTTTCAACACAGTGACTATTGAGATAAGAGAAACTGTCTATGGTATTTGACAGTTTAGTCAGTGGGAGGCATGGAAAGTCCCAGGACTCCTAATCCTCTTCCAGAGAAAATTGTGATCTTATCTACAGTGTGGAACAGTCTGAGATTGACACCTTCAATGTCAGCTTGGTGCTGCAATCTCATGGTATTAGAGGCTTTCACTTGTGTCTGTAATACGAAATCTAGCTACTATAATCAGTTTGTAAAAATGAAAAGCCAGAGCAGCAGTTGGAATAAACTGTATCTGTAGAGATCAGACATTTTAGACTTTTTACAACACTTTTATTCACATAATCAAACAATATAATCAATTATTTATGTAAAAACATGTGTCAGCTAAAACCCTTTAAACAAGGAACTTGTTAGAACATTTTGTTAAAACCCCACAACTGCATAAAATCCTCCATGTTCTTTGAGGCTCTGTAGAAGTGAAACTCCAGCCTTATTCTGGCTTTAACATTGCACTTCCACAGAGCCAAAGCATCCAGGTGAGGTTTCTCCTGCAGTCTGTCTTTGCGGAACAACAAAGGCTACGTTCACACTGCAGGCCTTGGTGCTCAATTCCAATTTTTTTGTGAAATCAAATTTTTTCGCGTTGCCTTTCATATTTCCAAATATTTGCGACTTGTATGTGATGTCCTGTGTGAACTGCAGTCATACAACGCAAGTGTCCCGTATGCGCAGTAGAGGACGCAATGACGTCACAGGCTAGCGTCCTCTTTTATTCCAGAAGTAAACATGGATGGTAGTGCCAGAGCGCATCTAGCCGTCTTCTCCAACCATAAAAAAACAATCTCTTCAATATGTTTAAACATAAATACTGTTCCAGCATCATCATCTCACATGTTTGTTGTTTTTTCTTGCCGTTTCTGCACAGCAAGACGCAGAATAGTGACATTTTTCGGGTATCAATGACGTTCAGGTTGGATGAATCCGACCTGGCCGTTCAGACACAGGTCGCATTTCAAAAGATCAGATTCATATCAGATTCAGGACCACATAGCCTGGGTCGGATTGGAAAAAATTGGATCTGTGTTTTTCAGATAGCCATGAAAAGATCAGATCCAGGTCGCATATGGGCAAAAAAAATCGGATTTGGATCACTTCAGGCTGCGGTTTGAACGTAGCCTATATGGCAATCTTTGCTTTGCTGATTAAGCAATTTTAGAGAGACGATAAGATTAAGCAACCTCCCCCACAAAAAAATCTAAAGTCTAAATGTAAAAAAATTAAATAATCATGGATTAATGAGCTGGCAGATACGTAGGTCAAAAAAGTAACACAAATAGCTAGGGCTGAAACAATTAATCAAAACCGTGATTAATCGATTATCAAAATAATTAACTAATAGTCGACTAGTTGTAACTCGAGTAGCAATCTCTGAGCATTAATTATCCCAAAACTATCACAAAAAACATAGAAACATTTTAGATTTAAGATGGAAAAACTTTTTTGTCCATCAATATTTTCTATTCAGAACTCATCAAGGGGAATAATTTTAGTTTCACCTGGATTAACTCTGTAAAGTTATATTCTTTAGCGAACCTTTTGCTATCTGATTATCCATCCATTCACAACCATTCACACCTAAGGGGACTTTTAGAGAAGCCATTAACCTAACAGTCATGTTAGGCTTCTGTGGGAGGGAGCCGGAGTACCCGGAGAGGACCCACGCATGCTCAGGGAGAACATGCAAACTCCATGCTGAAAGACCCCGGGCCAGGAATCAAACCCAGAACCTTCTTGGTGCAAGGCAGCAGTGCTACCCATTATGCCGCTGAGCAGCCGCTATGTGATTATTCATTGATTAATCGAAAAAATGATTGAAAGATTAATCGATTAGCAAAATAATTATTAGTTACAGCCCGACAAAAAGCTCAGGTGGGCAAAATATTAAATACAGTCAAGGAGAAATAAAATCTCTAGTTAATAAGTGGCTTTTAAAGGTTGCTACTTTGGCTAGGTTGGAGATGTGAACACGTGTTTATTCACTGCAGGCAACGGTGGAGGCATAGACTTAGACTTAGGCTTAGACTCAATTTTATTTTTCCCTTGGGATTACTCCTTCAGGGACATTCTGGTTCCAGTATCTTATATAGAGGATAAAGTGTTAAAGCAAAATGCCATTAAAGATAAAAATACGACAGATAATATAAAAAGAGTGTAAATAGTACCAAAAAAAGCATAAGAAAAAAGGATATACTGAGGGATAAATTTGATCAAGAAGAGGGGGAATTTAAAGTTTTAAATCTACTTCAATTAGATTTAGGGCAGATTTTATTTAAAGTATACAAGATGGCAATAATGTGCATCTAAATGCTTGCCAGCAGCTATAAAACAATAGAAGAAGAAGAATGAGCAGGGATTAGAGTAATTTGGTTATTGGTATTAATTAAAGGCTTTGTATTAACTCTAATCATATGTTATTGTATTAGAGATTCTTATGTTTAGAAAACTCCGTTCTAGAGCACAGTTTAGGTACATTACTTATTTCAAAACCAAGAAAGATTAAACATTAGCCCCATTTACACTACCCTCTGAAAAGCGAAGCTTTTTTCCTTACGACCGTTTACACATCATGCTTGCACGGTTCCACGCCTCCTAGTTACAATCTAGGGTACTACTGATATCTTGAGTTAAACAAGCAAATCAACATGGTGGTGCCCGTAGCATTCAGGAAGTTATATTATGATATTTCGTTGTTTGGGGAGAGTCGGGTGAAGAAGGCAGCCTTTGGTGAATTTACTTGACAGTCAGCTTTTAGGAAGTGGATATGTACAAGCGATAGTCTAAGCAGGGCTTAGACACACAGGAAACAATGACAGATGTTGAGGTTCATCACTTTGCTAAGCAGAATCATCACTGGGGCTGTTTCTCAATATGTGTACTTGTGCGTTATCGTGTGCTCGTGAAACGTCATCAGCCTCAGCCTTAGTACTGTTCCAATTTGCAAGAACACATGTCCGAGAATGGACAAAGTCCCCAGATGTTTTTATCTGCCCTCCCTCTTTACAGACTATGCATCAGATAAGACACTTCGTTTTTTAGATTGAAAGCTGCCCCAGCATGCACTGCAGCAGCAGCTTCCAATGGAGCACTCACAGAACTCAGAGTATTATTTATTATTTATTAGGGGTGGAACGGTTCACAAAATTCACGGTTCGGTTCGGTTCACGGTTTCGTGGTCACGGTTTTCGGTTCAGTTTGGTATATGTTGATTGTGACACCGAAATCCCATAAAAATTATTAAAATTAATGAAAAAAAAAAATTTATGAATTGTAATTATTTTTAGTGATCCACAGAAACCCTGGATCATTTCCGCATGATTTGCTGCTTTGAATTTAATCATCTCACGCATGCCCTCTACGACCTCCAAGGAACTCAGAGCGGAGCGGACGGGAGCCACAGTGGAGGCTGTAGGCTTTGCTTTGTGCAGGCGGTCTGGAGCGCAGCGGGGCAGAGCGGAGTGCTGACGGAGTATGTAGGATTTCGGGGTTAGCATGACATGTTGGTCATGTTGCTGTTAGCAACCGTATATTCCCCCCAGGGCACAGTGCCCCCCAGGGCACAGTGCTAGCCCCTGCTCTCTTCACCCTGTACACCGCAGACTTCTGTTACGATTCGGAGCTGTGTTACATCCAGAAGTACGCCGATGACACAGCCATCGTTGGGTGCATCAGGGATGACAGAGAGGAGGAGTATCGGAGTCTGGTGAGGGACTTCACTGCATGGTGCCACACCAACCACCTACAGCTCAACACCTCTAAGACGAAGGAGCTGGTCATCGACTTTGGGAGGTCTAGACCAAGACCACGACCAGTTCTGTTAGGGGGAGCTGAGGTGGAGGTTGTGGACTCCTACAAATACCTCGGGCTGTGGCTGGACAATAAACTGGACTGGACAACACACACCAGCCACCTGTATGGCAAGACACAGAGTAGGATGTACTTCCTCAGGAGGCTGCAATCTTTTAACATCTGGAGCAAACTGCTGTGGATGTTCTACCAGTCTGTGGTTGCCAGCGTCCTTTTTTACACTGTGGCGTGCTGGGGGGGCAGCACATCTAAGAAGGACACCTCCAGGCTGGATAAACTGATCAGGCGGGCCGGCTCTGTGGTCGGCATGAAACTGGACTCACTGGTGACGGTAGCAGAGAGGAGGACACTGGACAAACTGCTGGACATTATTGACAATGTCAGTCATCCCCTGCACACCGTCATCAGCCTGTTCAGTGGGAGGCTGCTCCTTCCCAAATGTAGGACCAACAGACTCAGGAACTCCTTTGTCCCTCATGCCATCAGGCTCTATAACTCCTCTCTGGGGGGGAGCAGGAAATAGAGTTAAGAGAACAGAAGTGAAGGAGTTGTAGATACTCGCTGTGGTTTTTATAATCTGGACACTCTTTTTTTCTCAACCATTCAAGTGCAATACACTACATAACTGTTAATTTAAGTCATTGTTTTTGCTATAGCCCTCTGTATTTATTTGTCTATCCTCATCCCCCAATACATCTTCCTACACCTTATTTAATTGATTTTATTTTT